TATTTTTTCGGTATTGTTATTTTAATTTCGCAACAGCTACTTCAATATATCACTTAAAAGCTCGAATGAGATTTTATTTACTCTTAAAACGATATAAAAAAAAATGTTTATTAGTCGAGTCAGATATTGTTGAAATTACTTAGTAAGCGTAAAACTGTTTGAAAATAAAAAAAATATGCTAAACGAATATTAATTATTAATTCAGTGTTATTTTATAACCCATTTAGTAGTATGTTTACAAAAGCACATTATTATTATTGGAGTTGATTGTACAACCATGTATATTTTATGTAATTTCCACTAATGATATTGACATAATCAAGGTTTTTTTAATAAAACTAATTCGTAAAAAACTCTTGATAATGTTTTATTGTTATATTTGATCTATGTTTAACACTTAACACTACACTTTGTTTCGATATAAATTATAAATCCATGATTGCACATGAACTACTAAACTACATTGATACCAGTTTATTAACATAATAGTTTAAATGAGAATACCTTGTTCAGTAGTAGCAATAAAAGTAAATATGCACTGGATACTTAAGACAATTTAAAAACGCTTTCACCATATATTTTTCTACATATTATATTGTTAATGCAATGATAAAATTCAACAAAAAAAAAAATCTTTTTTTTCGGCTTATAAATACAATTTAGTCGAAATAGGCTCAAGGCTGTTAGGGGAGATTCAGCATCTTAATCATAATAGGGAACTTATTTTATGAAACGTCAGCTAGAATTGTTCCAATAGTTAACGTTGAAAGTTACACTATATTTTATCTTAAAAAGCTTGTCCATTTTTACCTTTCGACCTATTTAAAGATGTTATAATTAAAATAAGTTATTAAATTATATTGTAGGAGAATACATTTTTATAAAAATAATATTATATAAAATGTTGTTTAAATGCCATCAAATTATTTTTAGTAAAAGAAACACATTTGGAAATTCATAGTACTTAAATAACTTTTGTAAACAATACTTATAAAACGTTCAGTTTCTTGTCATTTTTAATATTTTTAAAATAGCAACAAACTTTAAACATTTTTTTTTTTTTGGGTGTTTACTGAAATAATAAAATATCATTTACAAGTAATGGTTTTCTAAAACTTAATCACTATTTAGGATAAACAAAAGTAAAGTTTATCGTTTATAATAATATATTATATACACTTTTCATAGTATAAAATGTGTTATAAAAAGTCTTGAATAATAAGAAATAATAATTCAAATTTTACTTGATGTAGTTTATCCGTCAGATTTTTTGAACTGTAAATACACAATGACAACTTACACGAGCGAAAAGTTTTAAATGGTGATTTTTTAAAGACACAATTACACATAGAAAATGAAAACAACATATTATGGCATAAGCTATTTGTACGCAAAAAGATGGCATTTGTATTTCAAGTAAAAATGATGCAATATAATAATGTAATGCGTTACATTATTAATACAAAATAATAGAGAAATTTATATTTGTATAGTTAATTATTATACAATTAATTATTCATTATCTGGTTGAAATATTTAAAAAAAGGCAATGGTAGAACATAGACAATGTTATAGTCTTTATTATGTGAACATTTGGTTTCTTAGTTTTGATTACAACCTTTATGAAATTAATTCGCGCAAGGCAGGTCTTTTGGAGAAAATAACAGTTGTGTAAGATTTTAAATAAATACTTAAAAAAATCCAATATTTAAACGCGAGGGTTTAAAAGAAAAACGAGTCTATACTAGCGTACTAAGTATATTAATTTATCGAAAATGAGAAAAATATTTCAATTTTGACTTATTTATTTTACTGTTTCGCTTAAGGAACTTACAACAGTGGCGTAAAACACAAACATCCTTGTAAGCAAATTTAAAAGCTGTAGTAATAATTTACAAGATAACGTTATAATGACATGAATTTTAATGTGGAAAAATCCACCCCCTCTTAAAAAAAATTCCACTTAAGCTTGAGAAACCAAAAAGACAGGGGAATCTTTTGACAATTAGTAACGATAAATTTATAAGCGACGTCAAATAAAATAAATGCACGCTAAGCTCTCTTATAAAAAATGAGTTTTCTGTTTTTTTTAAAAATATAATCAACTTTTATTTTGTTTTTACTTTTTTGTATCTAACGTAATAATATTACTTACAGATTTGAAATAACTTTTTCTATAAAATTAGGAAAAATTATTAGTTAAATATTTGAACTATAATAGTGACTCATTAAAAATTTAATTCCTGATTATTACTAAAAAAAACGCGTTTTTTATTTTACCAAACAACATTAATATTAGATATTTAAAATATTACATAACTGTGGAAAAGATTTAATGTTAGTGGTTTTATATAAAAATTTACATTTTAAACGACACGAAAAACACACTTTACAGAAAACGTATACTAGTAACAAATTTTAATTATACTGTTAACAATTATTTGGTGAGAGCTAAGTAAAATGCGATAAAAAATATATAACATTTTGTTTATTTTTTTACCAGTACGTGCTTGAACTAAATATTTTGTTAAATTAATTGTTCCTTATCGTTTTAACCAAAGGCATTTTTGTGTTAATTCTGTATTAACACTTTTCCAACAGCCAATTTACTTGATTTTATATTATTTTACAGGAGCCATTTGTCTTGTTTGTTTATCGGGAAAAGTATTTATTTTATTGTCGTCACTTTCAAATAATCCTATTTAGATCTGGTTAACCAAAGAACGGCTATTTGTCATTGATGTCTTACCTTGGCAACGACAAATCGAATAAGTTGTAAAAAAGGAATTTTCAACCATAACTTTAAATATAATTTATTTCGTGTGAAAAAAGAAACGGTATCGCGGTTGTATTAACTTTCAATGTATACACATTTTATGTTTTTAACTTATTAAAATTAAAACTATTTTTTCCATCCAAATGTATTATATAAAAACAATATTATAGATTTCTTTTGCGGGTTAACAAAATGTTTTATTACTTTTAAATATCTTATGATATAGTAGATTTAATAAACTCATTAATTTCATAGCTAATATATTTAAATTCATGTGCAGTGTTATCAATAAACATATTATAAAAATAACCAAGTTTTTTAATAACTCATAGCATACAGCAGAAAAATAATAAAATGTACCCACATTAACACTTATATTTTTACTCGAAAAACTCTATTGTTTTGTTATTACTCTATTCACATGCTATATTGTTAAAGAGCAAAGCTCAAAAACACGTCATTAATTATTATCTGTAATGTACAAAAAAGAAAAAACTAGTTTTGATAACATAAAGCTTGAATTTTTGAAACAACATTTTGCACTTAATTAACGTCCTACACGCCGTCCTACTACCAAAGAGTATATAGACGATCTAAGAGTATATAGACGATCTAAGAGTTTAACATGCTTAGTAGTTTATAAATTATAATATAAAAATAAATACTTAATCATTTTAATTAGTTAGGTACTTCTAAAAGCACTTGTGTTTTTTTTTATATTTATAAAATTAACTGCTATACGGCTTTTGCATTTTTTTTTTTTTACTTCCGTTATAATATTTTCTATAAAACAATACGTGGCCAACACATATTCTTTATAATATTATGGTCCAACCTTTTATTCTCATATCCATTTATCACAGATGCGACGGGTCTGAAATGAAAGTGGCCCAAAAATAACGATAGTTCTCGGTTCCGGCAACTACATAAATGTGTATATGATGTATGTAAATGTAAAAAAGAAAAGAAAGAGACAGAAGAAGTATCTATAGAGATTCGGGTGCCGTTACAGCAATCCGAGCTTCCGAATGGACGTTTTCAGCCGTAAAAAAATAAATGTTTTTGATCCATTTTATATAATATTATATATATATATATATATACATACATATATATACTGTACATTGTACTTGTATATACATGTACATAATATTATACTCACTCTACAGTTCGGGATTAGGCAAGGGCCATTGCTCTTTATTGCCCTTATCGATTGAAGCTGTTACTTTTATGTACAAAATTCTCAAGGTCCACAGGTTTAACTTTAGCAGGCGTTATAATAATAATAATATTTCATTGCGAACCGCTCCGGCGAGTGGTCTGTCGCCATGATCGACGACGCGCGGTAACGCACAATAATATTATTATGAATTATTTTTGCCGGGTTACCGATTAAACCATTAATCTGTGTTTGTCGGTTTGCCCGGCGAATTGGACGCCCAGGTTACGTTTGATGACTAGGGGAAAAAAGCCAACGGCGGTTATAATTATTATTACTATACACAATACAATAGACAAACCGTCGATGGACGGTAAAATAAAAATAAAAAATATTATGGCAAAATCGATCGGTGAACTAATAAAACAAATTAAAAACAATATTCCCAATAGCCGAATTAATTTAAGTCGGTCGCTATACTTTATATACATATATAGGTAGATATTTTATTGTATTTCGTCGGGGGTATAAACGTATAAAAAAAAAGTAACCCTGCCCGGTCGGTTTCATTAACGTCGACTTTAATGATTGCCGCCATAACTATCTCTCTCGTGTCGCAATAATATAATACAATAGATTGACGAGGCACACGATCGACCGGCGGGGAGTACCTATGGCACGCGAATCATACTTGTTTGCGTGACCGGGCCGCCTCCAATACTCCGGAAAGTAAGTACAGTAATAATAATAATAACTATAATTATTACATGCTGGTGTTACGCCTCCAAAACACCCGGGTCGTCCTTTATCCGTTATAAATTTACTCGTTTAACGACAAAATTATGTGTGTATTATTATTATTATTATTATTATAATTATGTGCACCATATTATTAATGCCGTACAAACTATCGCAAAACCGTTCATAGGCCGGCACTTAGCGGAATTAAATCGACTGCGGCACCGCGGTGCGAAGAGTAGGTAAGCCTATAATAGCCGGTGCTTAAAAAACTATGCGTGTATAGGTATATTATAAAAATTTAAAAAAAACGCATGATAAACTCACTCGAATCCAGACGGTTGATAGACCCTCCGCCGACTGAAGCGTAGCGACTGTGACGTCTGTCCGAGGCCCGTAGACAGGATACTAAAAAAACAAAAATGATCAGATTGTAATAATTTTAAACAATAAACTTCTTGAAAATGACAGATTTCCGACAATGGCTTTTTTCAAGGAAAATATTACACAGAAATGATAAAAAAACTTCTTTCTATGCAATTAATCCTTTTGACCTTAATTTTATACTTAATTGTTTAGCCATTTCCGTAATCAAATCTGTTCTCTTATATATTTATGAGCCCGGATTTGTATTCTGAATAATTAATCTTAAATCATATGTTTTTTTATTGTAATTACCGTTATCCTTTGTATCTAATAATTTAAAGATTAATATCATTTTTAGTTTTAAGATTTTAATAGTTGAAGAAATATATAGTTATAAGCTAAAATGTCAATAAAAAATCAAAATTATATAAAAATAAGAACTTTATTTATTTACCATAGAAAATAAATATTGAATTTTATTGTTACATTATATGTATCAATACAGATTTTTTTTGTATCTACAGATTGTATTGTAATATTTGTTTGCTTATAAACAAAAATAAGCTGAGTAATGAACCAGGAATGTGTTTCTTGGCTTGGTAAAAAAACTTGATTCCTAATCACTATTTTTTGACACTTTATGTTTTTACTTTGGCACACAACCGGAAAACCGACAGTTTTTAGCGTTACTAAAAAACCTAACGCAAATATCAGATGATTTATCTGATTAGATAAGAAAAATAAAAGATAAGAGATTAGAAATAAAATGTCTCCCGTAGTTGTGGACTCGTGCGCAAGCTGTTGTAAAGGGATGGGGATAGTTTTGGACATTGTGGTATCGTGTGGCGGGCTTTTTTGTTTTTCTACGTCAAAAAATATTTTACACTTAAATCAACTAGTCTTGTATGCTTAAGTTTGTGAAAACCTTATTTGCTATGAAATTAAATAATACAAAATAAAAATCTTTTATCTATTAATACTTTTACTAAAGAGTTTTACAAGCAATATTATGAGTGTAAAATTTCAATAGCACTAAGAACGTGCTAGACCCCTACTCGTGTGAGCTTACAACGACTCCTGTTTTTTTTCCATTTTACACTGCGCACTATTACACTCACCAACAATAATTTATATTTTACACATAAAATATACTGCTACTAGAACACGTATTATAATATAAATTTGCTCTTGCGGCTTACACTATTTTAAAAAGTAACATCTTTTTACCTTTGTCCTTAAGTGTTATTTGGTATAAAATGTATATAATATATTATACATACTCCTTACAGTATTTTTAGTTGTAATTTTATGTGTATATTTATAACGCCATGTATTACAGTACTTAACCCGCATTCCTTTATAACAATAATAAAACACTATGTAGTTATAAAAAGTTACCTCTTATAAACTAGGATTACTTCTTTACCTGCGTAAACTTAGCAAAAATTATTTCTCAAAAGTTAAATTAAATTATGAAACAAACAAGAAAATCGTAAGTAAGAAAAACGATATAAACAAATTGGATATCCTATATTAATAAGACCAATTATTTAATTTATTAAAAACGAATTGCCTGTGTACTCGCCTAATCCAGTTAAATTTCCATTATTCAGTTCTGTATTAAAATATTGTACAGATAACTATTTTTCTACATTTCTTATTCAGGGCTATACCTTGTTTGGAACAAAAAGCATTTATGGAAGGTAATAGTTCTACATTTTAATAAAGGTTCAAAAATAAATAATCAATTCAACCGCTTGATGTTTTTGAATCATTTTTTTTTTTTGTAATGGTAGAAAGAAACAATCAATTTTTCTCACAGTTTTTCTATTTGAAGATAAAATGCATAACAGTATTTCCAACGTACAATTGAACATGGGAAAATCACAGTTATAAAAATCGTATTACGGGGAAGATTTATGTAAGGGTACAAGCGTCATAAATTACAGGTTAAAAAAAATAGGAGTAAGTGCCAAAAAAATGGTAAGTTTTTGTTGAATTCATATTCATTAAAAATATATGTAAGATTTCAATGCTACAAGTGTCATCGATGTAACATAATGTGGAATGGAAATATATAACAACCTCAATTCTAAAACTTTAATAACGACCGAAGCGCCTTCGTTAAAGTTAAGAACGTTTCCAAATTTTATTTTTGTTCTCCTGAAAAGTAGTAAAACTGTCGTTCAGCCCCATTTGCCTCTTACCAGTCAATATATCATTTGACAAAAAAATACTACATCAAAACCCAGGTTTGAATCCAACAAGTATAACATCGCTGCAGAGATTCAGACTAAGTATGATTAAATTAAATTATGTATACTGTAATGGATGTGCAATTCACATTTGTCAACTGAATAATTGATCCAAGCGCGCACTGATGGGAATCTAACTAAAGCCATTAAAGTATACAGTCAAAATATATACACCGTTTGGCTTTATGTGAAGTATACAAACGGTGGACGGGTTTTTTGAACTAAATATAAAAATCGGTCCGGTTGTTAATGAGCTTTTGCAGGTCCATTAGAATAAGATTAGTGTGATTGTTATTTTTATACTTACATATTACTGCTAATATATAACATTAATAATGTATTATTTTACCAGTATTGAAAACAGATATTTTTAAGAAGTGAAACAATTTCTATTTTATGCTTTTCGATACGAACGTACGTCGGCAGGAGGGTTTTAGTATTCCAGACGATGAACAGAAGAAATATGCATAGTCAATATTTTTTTTAGTTTGACGCAATGCGATCGATAACCTATGCTATGGTTCTCATTGTACTTTATGTAAGCAGCTAATATATTGTACTCTATAAATATGTATACTAATCATTGACCATCCTCTGTTTGTTCTCGCTTGCTAAATAATAACCCTCCAGAGTAAAATTTTTAAAAAAATGTTCCACTTTTTCTAAATTAAATTATATTGTTTTCATTTTTAACTGTGATGAAACCATTAGAAATTTAATTTGCTCGAGAAATATGATTTTAAAATATGACAAGAACGTTCAACTTTGTTGACAACACTTTTAAAATTAATTACTTTATCTATCCTTATAGACAATATTTTGACCGTCAGCCTTTCATTGTTCTGCTATCATCAACACTAATTATAGAGATATTATAGAAATTAAAGTTAAAAATTAGAATGATCTAATCGCATAAATTGGAAAACTTAAAATATAAAAACTAATATATTTTATGACAAAATGTTATCGATTCACAAATATTATATTTTAAACATTATGAATCATTAAATATTTTTATTTTTACAAATCAAATTATGTTGTCAAATTTAAGATTTGAGAATTCAATTGACTAAAATGTTTGAATTTATAAGTAACCATTTTCTTAATTTTTATGTTATAAAGAAAATTAATTGTAGATATCTTCTTAATACGAGTATATCTATAAAAAAAAGAAATTGCATGTTTCTACCAAACTTTAGTACACGACGACGAATTTGTCTGTGATATTACCTGAGAATGACAGTAAATTTAGCTGTATTTATAGTGTAAACTATGTTTTCTAGAGTTCGTATTGTTTTACTGGATCTAAAAGTTTACAGTACATTTTTGAAGAACTCTATTATCTCCATTATCGGGCAGTTCGATTTGAGTTGGCTTCAAGTTGGTCTCACCGAAAACCAATTTTGGTTACCACACTGCACATTTACCAACATATTAATATAATGTATTTGTGTACTTGCGTTTAATAATAGTAGTACAACGGAAATTAGCCAGCGGCCATAAGATTAAATGGCCCATGTTATTCTTAAGATTAGTTTAACCACAAATGATGTGTGGCTGAGCAAGTTCCGGCAATTTTGAAAGTTAAACCCCCCCAAGATGGAACACGACTACCATTTACCACGCACGCATGCACCTATTCAAATGAGTTTCCACACTAAACTTTAGATCCGCAATTTTCCTTATAAAAATGTTACAGTCGTATAAAGTTACCTCGTTTATTTATTATTATTATTTTAGTTTTGCTATTTCAATTTTTTCTTTTCTTTTTTTTTTATAATGAAAAAGGTACCGCGTATACGTGTCTCCTGCTGGCAAATTTAAATCTTCCCATTGTACCGGTTATTACCGTTACCGCCGTTTGTCGGGATCACCGCACTGGGTGGGTTGCAATGGATTTTTCCCGCTAATGAAATATTCATGAACGCGTCGAGATAAAAAGCCGGACCACCGTGACACCTGAATAAAACGTGATCGAATTCAGGTGAGTTTTTTCTTGTTTTTTTTTAATTAACCAGAACGTAAAAGATGAAAAATACGTCATGTCGGCCATTGATTTTTGGTAAGAGAAGCAAAAAAAAACATACCCACATTTGATATAAACTGATAATCTTAACGTACATTTCACGGTATTCTATATATTGTACTACAGGCTCAATAGTGGTTGTACAAATAAAAATAAAGAAAATTATCTATACATTTATAAGGTAACTATTTATGCCATGTTATAAATATTTAATAATATGAAATAGTATATAATTTGTATCTCTACTAAAACGTTTAACTAAAAAGTATCAATATATATTTTAAATGTGTGCCCTAATAACTCTAAAAGTGTACCTACCAAAACTTAAAAAAATAAATGTCTTTTAAACATAGCCACAATAGTTTTTCAAATGGTGTAATTATAACTGATTCAGAGCCTACTTCAGAGGTAAACTTTTCTACATATTGGAATATTATTTTAAATAATTTTACTTAATAAAATATACTAAAAGTATAATAACTAAAGTGGTGAGAACCAAAAGGATACAATTGGTTTTTAAAAAACTTTACAGGAGAGCTAAAAAAAAATTGTACCAACACTTTAACGGAGATACGTTGTGATTTGTGAATTAATAGATGTACATGTTAAAGTTTATGCGTATATTCGCATCATATGCAATCATATGACTTGTTAATGATGCATGTGGGCTGTAAGAGGAGGGTTCGACGGATGTATATTGAGATGGATATACTTTCAGTAAATTATGTATTGAGAAATATAATAAAGGTTCGTTCACTTGG